TGTGTTAAGCCTGAGTGAAGCATTGCCTGAGGTACCCTGAACTACGAAATGACAAAAACAAAAGAAAAATTAAAAACGGACTCAAACCCTTAAGAAGGTAGTCACTCCATCTATCATCGGGAAGAGCCACCCGGTTCACACTATACTCTACCCTTGGAAAGAACCGTGGCATTAAGAAAACCTATTGAAAACGCCAAAAACAAAACAAAAGGCTACGAGCCTATCTACTAAGCTAAAAATAAAAAATTTTGCGAAAATAGAAATATCGAATGAATATGTACAATAGGGGAGTAGAATATACAATGAGGGATGAATATATACCAAAAGTACTTTATATACATACCAACAGAGAATAAAAAGTACGACAAAAGTAGCTAAAAAGTGAAATTATATACAGACCAACTAGAAAATCAAGAAGTTATATACAGACCAACTAGAAAATCAAAGCAACAAAACATAAAATAAGAATCCAATATGTACAGTCATCCGGATAATCCAAAAAGTAGGGCGCACCCCCACAAATAAGAGTTGGCATTGTCCCCAATGCCAACTACACAAATAAGCACAAAATAAGATCAAAGGATATAGAAGGGCTCCCTAAGCCTGATCCGTCTACATGGGCTCCTCAGTGGTCCCGTGGTCCTCTGTATAGGTGGGAACCTCAGACTGGCTCCCGGCTTGTTGTTGCTCTGCTGCTGGGATAGGGGCCGGGTCATGGACCGGCTGAATATCGGGTGCAACACTGGAGGGACCCTGCTGAACCTGTGCTATCTCGGTCACTACACCCTCTGTGCTAGGAAGCTTCCTCTTCTTCTTTGGATGCCTAGGCTCCTCCTCTTGCTATGGCTGAGATGTTGCTGGATCTAGGGCTGGATCCCCAAATAGCAAGTCTAATGGCATCTGGTCTGCCAATAGCTTGTCCACGTCCGCTCTAAGCTTTTAATAAACATTATCAACTTACGTATTTTTTAAGACCCATGAACAGATGATATAATAATAGGACACATGGGCAATCAAGAACATAAGCATCTCTAGCATTTTTGTGAATGGAGTCATTTATGGAAGTTGTGCATTTGCTCATTTCGTTTGTAATGTATGGATTATACGAAAAGGAAAGAAGCGATAGCCTATACATACTTGAGCTGATTCTATTGACAATCCCTCTAACACACGTCAATTGCGACCACACGTAACGACAAGATTAGAGTAAGGAAAATTTTGTATGATATTCTTGAGAAAGATTGCACCGTACTCCCTTAGAATCGCAAATCCCGTTACTATTACGCCCTATAACTTCTCATGAGTTCCTTGTTTAAGATCCTACTTGGCAGATGTAGAACAAGTCCATTTTGGTGAATTTGATCACACTTTCCTTACTGAAGAAACAACGTTTCCATTCCATGTTGAATTAAAGTCCATTCCTAGCACATATACCTTCATTCTTCCATAATAATAATGTAGTAAATAATGATGTGGGAAGATTGGCTTAAGGGTTTTGGTTGTGGGCCCCACATTAGGGAATGACTAAGCAACAAATATTCTCTTAAAATGTCACTTTGCAACATTCTTTAAGAGTCATTTGATTGACTTCAAGTTGCTGCCACGTTAGTTGTTCAATACTTATCCAATGTCTTGATTAATTCCTTAATTAATTTGCTAATTCCCATTAACCAATAATTATCCAATAATCCACGTAACTAGGAATTAACTCAAATTACATAAAATACTAATTATTTTTAACACACTTTATACCCCTTACTATCATAATCATGTGGTACCTTGTATGACACTAGTCCATAAATACGGAGTATTATAGCTTGGACAGTATTTTACGTCAAAATGTCAACTTTGACGAAACTCATTTTCTTTGATTTGCTTACCCTCGCACCTTCACGAATTTACTTATCACTTATTTGAAATAATATAATAATTATAACCTCAAAAATAATCTTATTCCCGAGCTTATATCAATTTACTCATGCTGTACTTTCATGTACGAAAACGAGGGGTGTAACACCACTATTAACACATATTCTGGAGGATACATTGGACGACCACCAATCTTTTCATCTTCATTAAAATCATATTGAAGTCTCCACCAACCATCCATGGCACCTCCATATCACTTGCAAGATAGTACAAGTTATCCAACAATTCTAGCCTCTCAAGAGCTAAGCATTTTGCATACACAAAGGTCATTATAACAGGTTGGCCAATGTCACGATGAAACACCTTAACATTCTCCTTTTGTTCTGTTTCCATGACCAACTCCCATTCCACATTAGCATAAAAAATAGCAAGATCTTCTAATTACTAATAGCAATGGCAACGTTAATATTCAACCTTCTTCTATTCCTTTGTATGTGCCTTTGATTCCGAAATGGTTCCATCAATGCAATGAGAACGAAAATATGTTGTCTTTGCTTGTTAATCACCCTAGGTAAGGCATGTTGTGTGTTCACAGACCTTATGTTCCAAATTAGTGTTTTGATCATTAATTAGTTTGTGAAACCGCCCTTCTGGGAAAAATTCTTTTAGGTTGAGGAATCTCTTTGTTTTGACCTTACTTCATTCCCTTGTTACCACTCTTATCATCAACCCTAGGTGATAAATCAACTTCCCACGGTACTACTTCGAAATTATGAAGTGTTGATTCATCATCACCTTCTTCCTCAAATTGCTCTCGTTAAATCATGGCCTGCTGAATCTTCTGTAACATTATGTGTGACAAGATCATGTAATACCTGGATTGGTGTCTTTAAAGGTACATTAAGCTGAAGTTACATTAGTTAGCTAGTTCCAGAAGCACATGCCATATGACTTGGACCAATAGCACCTGGTGCTTGTGGTAAAATGGAATGCTGGGGTTTTTCTGCATTTGTCTCATTCATCACCATAGCATTCTGTTCTCTAGGTCGTAAATAATCCTTCAGCATCTTAAATTGCAAAGCATACACAGATTCCAAGCTAGGTTTACTGTAGCTGTTTCTGCAGAAGTTACTGTCCCATTACGATCAAGAGGTTTTCCACTAGCTGTCTTATGATCTGGCCTCATTTTATCATGTAATACATTTACATAAACGTCACCACATTACTACCTAGCTAAAAAAGACATCGGAATACCTTCAACAATAAAAAAAAATCCTTCCCAGATGCCCTAGGGATTACTGTTCCATTGCCCTGCTTCTTAGTTGAGGCTGCTGAACCTTTTCCCCAACTTTTGTAGCTTCCACTGATTTTCCTTTATCTAATTCAGCTGTTACTTTAGACTGTTGTTAATTAAAAACGTGATCACCTTCAACCCTAGTTTTAAGGCTAGGGTTTACTGTTGCATCTTCATGACTTGAACCTGCCAGCTTTTCCTGCTCATCCTCCCTTTGATTGTTGGAAATGTCTTCTTGGTTATCTTTTACATTCTCCTTCATTAGCTCGACTTCATCACTCCACAGTTCCTTACCATCGTTTGTTGTTCCAGTTATTTCAATTTCCTTTGAGTAACCTCCCATCGTCTGTGAAGGCACTTCTTGACATGAATAGTTGGTTGTCACATTAAGTGATTCTTTGGGAGCTCCAAATCTTCTTTGCACCCAATCTACAGTTCTCTCCTTTTGTGTATCCACCCCATTCCCAGTAGCATTAGGATTTAGGTTACACTCTCTTGGCGCAAAAATAGAACTCCCAGTTCCTTTAGGAATTGGAGTGCGCTTTTGTGCATTATCCAGTTGCTTCTTCTCCTTCTCCTTGTTGGATACATTTAATTTCATTTTCTTCACCTTCTCCTTAACTGTACCGTCTTCTTTGCCACATGTAATTTGTAGAGCTGGTGGATCAAATTCCTCAAGTTTAAGTGCATCAAATTTGTTCTTTGTAGCTACTGCCTCGGCCTTGTTCTTCCCCTTCACATTGTCAAATTTCTGCTCCTTTGTTGTTTCAATAATATGGCCTCTATTATCTCATTGGTACATGTTATTTATTCTCTGCATCCACTCCTATTTGACAGGATTTGAGTTTGGCTTTCCCAGTACCTTACCACTCGAGAGAACTTTAGATGAGTCAGCTGTTGTACCAAATACCTCTTTCTCAGTACCTTGATCCTCTATAACTTCATCATACCTCTTATGTAGCTCAAGCTGAATCACCCAACAATGAATCTCATTGTGACCTTGCTTCTTACATGTCTTACAATACTTTGCCATGTAGTCATATTTAATATTGATCAACTTAAACTCCTCTTGCCCAGACTCATCTTCCCCCTCTACAATTTTAATTATTAGGGGGAACTTAGACAGCAAATTAACCTCAACCTTAACCTTTGCACAACTAGGTCTGGTACCATTTTGAGTTGCAAGATCTACATGCAAAGAATTACCTACTGCACTGGCTAATGTAAAAAAAAAAAAAAAAAAAAATTCCTTACCAAAGAAATTAGGTGGTAATTCTGGAAAACTTATCCAAGCTATAGCAATTGGTGTTTCTTCCTCAGGCTTCCACCATGGATTGCACTTCGTGCAACACATCTGCCACATCTCACTTTGAGCTATCAAATAGAATAAAGACTTAAAAAGAAGATGAACATAATCCTCCATTAAAGACAACTTTATCAACACATGATTATCTTCAATTAAACCTATTGAACAGGCTCCTTTAATCTCACACTAAATGGGAATAACTTTACGTAATTCACTAATAACAGGCTTCCCATAAGTGAATTTCCCATGAAATGCCAGTTGAAGGCCTTGTTTCACGATTGATTGTGTCAATTCTTGTTTCTTCCAAATGATTATGGGTTCACCATGAAGAAACTCGACTGGTTTAATAAATATTTTGGCTACACTATAAAAAACAGTCAAATTGCGGCAGTTAATTAGCGGCGGTCAACAGCAACTGCCGCAAATTATATCAAATTATGGGACTTTCTCCAACCGATGCAATTAATTATAATTTGGGGGATCAGCTGGTACATTAAAAGCAAAAGAGCGCCAAGCTTCTAATTTTTCCCTCTTTTTTTTCTCCGCCAAAACCTTTTAGACTTATTACCCAAAACCTTTAGACCTTCTAATTTTTTTTGCCGTCTCTCTCACTCTCTCTCTCTCTAGTATGCAGGCGGCAGCCTCTCTCTCACCAAATTGGAGTGTCGTTGCTAGAAAATTCACGGTGTTCTTTTTCTAATTCTTCTCCAATTCTGATTTTGTGTAACCATGTATTTTTGTATTTCTTAAATTACATGTGGGTTTTCACTTTATTTTTTGTTATTTTGGGTATTCTCTGTTGGATTTGAGGTTTCTCTATTCATTTGGAGCTTTTTGGTTGATTTGGGGTTTCTATGTTGATTATATGCAATTTATTAGCTTGATTTCTCTGTAAACCTAGAATTTTCTGGCATGCACTCTGCTTTATTGCCTCAATATCCTAATGTATTTTTGTTTTCTGTTTCTTCTTTCATGTTCTGTAATGTAACAAAAATTTACTAAAAAATTGATTTGTCGCTGTGTTTTTCAGTTGTGGTAAGTTTTTTCTCCATTATTTCTTTAATTACTGCACTGGTATCCCTAATTTTTAACCTTCATTTTACTTGATTCTTACATGCATATTTATGGCAGATACCTAGTCACATATATGTATAATTTTGGTTTTGTGATGATGCTATGTTCTTTCGATTGGGGAATTATGTGATTTTATTGGTTATTGTACATATAAATTGGAGTTAAGGGTTACAACTTGGCAATTTGTCTATTTTCCTATTTTGTGGTTATGATAGGGTTCTATTTCCCTAGTTAATAAGGAACTAGGGAATCATATTAAAAAAGTGTTTATATGGTGGATTCTGCAGATAGACTGCTGTGAGCATAGCAAAATACTCATAAACCTTGTTGTTCAGTAATGTTTTTGAGGAAGAGAGAACATGACTTAAGATCGCAGCATTTGTTTGTTATAGAGAAACTGTTGATGTGTTACTTCAAACATTTAACCAAACATAGTTTAGAAAAGTACTTTTTTAATTTACAAAGCCACATATTTTCGTAATTTGCCCACTTTGTCCAGTGAGTATCCCAACGTTTCCTAACTTCAACATAGATGCAGCAAAGTCTTGGTAGAAAAGATAAGGGTAGGAGCTGTAGGATTTGACCATATCAGCAGTCTGAGAATTTGACATTAATGCTTGATCAGATTCAAGAAGACCTGAATTGTTCACAAGGTTTATTCTTAGCTTGATGCATTTCAGTAGCTATCTCTTTTTTGCTTGTCTTGGTGTGCATTTAGTTAGCTTTTTGCTTGTCTTGGTGTGCATTTAGTTACTTATTAATGTTGTGACAAACAATATATAGGAAAAAATGGAGCTTGCTTTGAGCCAAAGCACGGTGGATGAGTCTGAAGTTTCGCCGAATGATGCTGTTCGTAAAGTGCTAGGAAAAGGGTAAGGGGCTTAGGATTAGGAGCTGTCCCTAGCAAAGCTTTTAAACATGCAAGACCTCGTTTTGGTGGTATGAATGCTTCAAGTAGTGATGCTTCATGTTTGAACCATTGTCAAGAGAACTACAATAAATTGTTGAATGCGCACAACCAAAGCCAAGAGAACTACAAACAAATGATGAATGCTTTCAAGGCATATATGATAATGAAAGAAGGGACAATACCGGAGCAATTTGCGGAGTTCTTTGCTTCTCCTCCTACAACGGTAAATAAACTTGTGATTGTTTTTCAATTGATATTATCTGCATCGATATTAGCTGACCTGGTGTCTTTCCACGTGCTTTCCTTGTCCGTTCTAGTCGTTTTGGCACTCTGTAAAATCCATGTTTGCTTGTTTACATGATGAACTTGAGCATGAATTTTCTGCTGAATGCAGCACTCTAGAATATGCTCTGAGCACACTTCTGTTGTCATTCTTGTTTGGATAGACAATCATATGTTTATGTCCTATCCTTCATCAACGATGTGCTATGAGGTCAAAACAGTGTAGTGAAAACAAATAAATTGTTGATCTCTTACACACTTGTAGCTTTTGACAATGTCTCAAGAACGAAGACCCGAGGGCACCTTGTAAACAGGAAAGAGCTGCTATTTGAGCTTCCTTGATAAACTAAGTTTTCACCTGTTTAAATTTACTGCTGAATTCCTAGTTTCATGTGTGATAAAATTTTGACTACAGAATAAAGGATATAATTGGTTCAGATTTTTATTCAAGAAATAGCTTAAGTTATAATTAGCATTTAAAGGATCTTATTGTTTTATTTTGTTTGCAGCCTAGAGATGCAGCTAGTGGATCCCTGTCACCCACGAGCGCAAGAAGATATCTGATGACAGTAATCCAAGTGACAACAATTGAAGTCTTTTATAATTGAATTAGATAATTGATTATGACAATGTGATTATGTGATTGGAGCGGATGTTAGAATGGCTAGGGTGAATGTTTTATGTTAAAATTTAGTTTGAAAACTAAGTTCGTTTTGAGCAACTAAATATAGAGGCAGAATGCTATATCGGAGATAGCTCTTCCGACGCTACTGTTTGCAGCCAGAAACATTGCTGAATCTGCTTTGAGTTTTTTAGGAATTTTTGCCATGGGAGCATTTTTGTGGCCCCATCATTTATATATGAAAGTAATACTTTTGTGATGCTAATTATGTTGTTGATACTTCTAAGTGTCATATTATATTCAAAGTTTAGTTTCTAAGTGTTATATTATATCTTTTTTTGTTAGATTATGGTGTGGAAAGGTTCATTAGTAGAAAATATTCAAAGTTCAATAATTGTAAAAATGCACTAAAAGAAACTAATACGTTGAATGAATTGCATGGGTTTTGACTGCCGTAATTTTTGTATTAGCTAAGTAAATGATTTCCTATGTTGCTAGTTAGGTTACGTACGTCGTACGTACGTTAAAGTA